CATGCACATGCATATAAATGACATAATTATCAAACAAATAAATAAAAGGAATACATAAAAATTTTTACAAAAAAAATATTTAATTTTATTAGGCTTTTGGATAACACAAATTTATTTACTAGCTTGACTCTCAGCTTGTCATTAATAGAGTCGCCAAACTGTCACAACATATAGATCTGATGATCTATCACTAGACATTGACTTTAGGAGTTACCACCAATCTTTTTTGTTTATATGCGATTGATCACCTAAGGAATCTATCCTTTTAAAGAACACCTAAGCTTGACTAAGGGTCCCTAAAAGAATAGGTTCGGGTCTATTAACCAGAATAGGGTTTGAGAGTTTGGTTACGAGTGAGAAAAGTTATAGCACCCTCACAACACCCATCGAAAGATGACAACAACTTAATTTCGTGTTATCCAATAAGCCTTTAAAATTTTACCAAGTAATTAATTTTTGAAAATTATTTTTAATTAACTCCAATACTTTTGACAAAAAATCAAGAAAATTCTCTCACCTCAAGAGTATACAAAAAAAACTATTGTTTCACTTGCAGAGACTCCATCGTGGGATTATTTACCATTGAAAAATTTTCAAGAAAAGAAAGGAAAAAAAAAAAAGAGGAATAATGATTCAATTATTGATATAAATCATTTTCTTTTCATTTTATAAAAAACATATTGCTTTTATACAAAGAAAATTGATACTTTCAACTTTTCCTTAAGCATTTGAAGGTTTTTATTTTAAGAAAAATTCATACTTTCAACTTTTCTTTAAAAATATTTTTCCTGATAATTTTACTTTTAAGAAAAATTGGTACTTTCAACTTTTTCTCAAAATATTTTTTTTGAAATTTTAATTTCAAGAAAAATTGATACTTTCAACTTTTTCTCAAAAATATCTTTTTTTTAAAAAGAAATTTTGTTGTCAAGGAAATTGATACATTCAACTTTTTTTAAAAAAAATATATTTTTTAAATTTTATTTTTAAGAAAAATTGATACTTTCAACTTTTCTTTAAAAATATTTTTTAAATCTTTTTTTTCAAGAAAAATTGATATTTTCCACTTGCTCCCAAAAATATATTTTTTTATTTTGTGTTGAAAGGAAATTGATACATTCAACTTTCTTTCAAAAATATTTTATTTAAAAATTTTATTTTCAAGAAAAATTGATACTTTTAACTTTTTCTCAAATTTTTTTTTGAAATTTTATTTTAGGAAAATCATCGAAAAAAAGAACTAAAATAAAAAATAAAAAAAAAATTAAGGAATACCAAATAATTCTAATAATAATAATAAATAAATAAATAAAATAAACAAATAAATTTAAAAAAAAACCTTGAAACGGTCGACGTGGATTCGGCTCGGCTTGAGGAAGAAAAACGACTCGAAAACGCGGCTCGAGAGTGCGCGGCTCAGCTTGGCTCACCTCCAGAGGTCGGTTGGCACTCAGGTCAGACGCGGGTTAAAAATGAGTTGACGCTTAGGTCGGGTCACCCGATGACAAAACACGCGGATCTTTTGGATTTAGTAAGGCCAAAACGACGTCATTTTCTGAATGTAGAAAAGACAAAAGCTTTCGATTTTCTTCAGACGCCTTCATTTCTTCTCTCTCTCTCTCTCTCTTCCCCTCTTTTCTCTCTTTTCTCTCTAGAAAAAGTCAAATTTCGGTTGAATGTTCTACCAAAATCTGAAAAAATCAACTGAAAACTGGAAAATTTGATCAAAAAATTCAAAATTGGTCGAAAAATTCATTGAAAAATTGATCGAATTCTGGATTTTTCAAAAAAAATTTAGAAAAAAAAATAACTCCAAAATTCAAAAAAATTCTTAAAAATTCTAAAACTATCTCTACCCTATAAAATTTTTTTTTAGCTTCTGTTTTCTTCTTTCTCATGTTCTTTTCTCTGTTTGATCAATGTGTATTTATAGGGAATCAACCTTAGAGTCATTGACTAATCTAGATTCCCTTTTTGATTGGGTTTTTGGGTTATCAGATACTAATTGAATCACCTATGACTCCATACTAGCCTTATTCACAACAGAATTCATTTCAATTTTTTTTTATCATAATCTCTTAATCCTAGCCGAGAATTGATCAAGAAAAGATAAAGTCAAAAAAAAAATATTAATAGATAAATAATAAAAAAATTAATTAATTAATTAATCAATCCTAACTTTGGGCTTCACTATTCCCATTGGACCAGGCCCAATTGATCCGAGCCTGGACCCAATTGGGTATCTACACTTGTTTAATAATAATAATAATAATAATAATAATAATAATAATAATAATATTGGTTTAATTAAAATTAAAAATTAATTATTTAAAAAAATTTTAAAAAAAAGAGAAGAGAAGATACAAACAAAAAAATCCAAACAGAAGAAAAAACAAAGAGGTAAAGGTAGGTGCCAGTAGGTGACGTGCATGGCACCACTGGTTGCCCGCACCCCTTGTCTTAGCCATTCTGCCACCCCTCTCCAGTCCCCTCACTAGAGCACTGTAGCTCCATCATCACTTTCTGTTTCTCAAACACTCAGTCCCTTTAAACGCTAGGCTCAGACACACCCAAGGGAGCTCTCAGATAGACACTGAAGCACCAAGCACCCACACCCAAAAACCACAGTTCTTTTCCACCTAGAAACCTACCTTACGCTCACAGTATACCCCAAAAACCCATTCCTAAAACACAAAAAAAACATAATCCCCACCGTATGGAGGAACCATCAGCGCCAAAGAAGCTACTTGAAAAAAAAAAAGAGTCATCAGTTTTAGTTTTACGAGTAAGAAAAAAGATAAAAACTTTAAGTCCCGATCTACACTGATCAGGACTGTTTTTGGCAAGACAAACATCGGATCTGGAAAGATCGTGTTGAAGAAAGCTTCTTGAAGTCTTTTTGTCATTTTTCGATTACCAGTGACCTCTAATGACGACCACAAAAGGCGTCGACATGGTGGCCAGAGGTTGGATGTCGGTAGAACCTTGGAGCTCTCCCTGAAGCTCTAAAGTATCTTTTTTTTTCTTCTGGAGCATCAGAAGAAATAAGCCAAAAAAAATTTTGAGCTTCTATAGAGAAAGATAAAGCCCAAAACGACGTTGTTTTGGAATAAAGAGGATCCGCGGGTGAACTCGGATCCGACCCAAGATTCTAACAAATCGACCCGTTGACCTGCTCTTTCAACACCCTCTTATCGATTCAGTTGAATCGGATCAGATCGAATCGAACCTTCGAACTGGCCGAATCAACCTTGACTGAACCGTTGACCGGTCCGGTTCAAGTTTTTTTTTTAATTTTTTAATTTTTTATATATTATTATTTTTGTTATTTTGAGCTTTATTATTAATATTTATGCATGATAAAATTGTAAAATTTATTAGAATTAATATTTTATTATTTTTAATAATAATAAAATGAAAACAAAATAGGATAATAACTAAAAAATATATAGTAAAAATGCTTAAAAAATAATAATAATAATAATCTAAAATAATAATAATAATAATAAATTTTTTTTTTATGTTCTCTACCTAGATGTTGGAAGGAATACAATCGTGTTTTAAATAATGATAATTTCACTTAGATGTTGAAAAATTATTTTTTAAAAAAAATAAATAAATTAATAATAAATTTTCATAAAAAAATATATGAAAATTTTTAATTAATTTTCAAAAATCGTAAAAATTAAACTTGTTCAAAAAATCCGTCTATATGTTAGAGATTTTTAGAAATGTTCATGTTTTTTTAAAATTAAAAAATCTAAACCTTAAAACCCTAACCCTAAAATCCAAACCCTTAAACCCCGAAATTGAAACCTTAAACCCTCAAAACCCTAAAACTAAACTCTAAAACCTCTAAACCCCGAAATTGAAACCCCAAACCCTCAAAACCCTAAAACTAAAACCTCGAACCCTTAAATTTAAAATCCTAAACCGTAAAATCCAAAACTTTAAAATTCAAAATTCTGAGAACCCTAATTTGGTACGAAATTTCGAATCATTGCCCGAAAATCACCAAATCTTAAAATCTTGACCTAAACTTATACTCAAATAATTCCAAAACTCTAAAGATACATGCGAAAATCTCAAGTAGAGTAATTTGTTCTTGAATGCCGCCTAGAGGATAGGGCATTTAGGAAACTTTATTCCATTAATTTTTTTATATGAGTCTTTAATTCGCTTTAACAATAAAATGATATGCTTTAATAAAAAGAATAATAGTAAATTGAGATCTTAAATATAAATAGTCACACCTAAGTTCTATCTAGTTGTTGGAGAGTCAATGTGGTCTCATTATATTTAAGAATTTATTTTTTCTAAATTAAATTTTATCATCTGACATAATATCCATGGGTATACAAGCATCGTTATATTATTGTTGACGTTCATTTCGTATTTCTTTATCTTTAATTTTTATTTGTTACCTAACAATACCATTATTTACTTTTTCTTATAAAATGTTTTACAAGACAAACATATATATAATATATTTTTAAAATTGTGATGTTATAAAATAAAACAAAAATAACATTTTAAAGGAAATAATTCTTAGTACTCTGTCTAAATGTTAAAGTCACCAACAATTATCTTTTATAAAGAATGTTATTTCATTTTAAAGATTGTTGTATTAAATCTTAAGTGAAAAATATTATTTTAAATTCTACCTAAATGTTAAAGAATTTTAAGATGTTCTTTAAATTAAAGATTTTTTCAATATTCTTAGATAAAAAGTTTTAGCAAAATTTTATTTTTTCAAACAAAAAAGATTATTATTAACCTTAAAATCAAAACCATTTCATTCAACATTGAAAATAGTGCATAATTAAATGATACCAATTTATGGGCACTGTAGAGATGTTAATCTTTCTCCACGCGTAATCGACTCTCGGACCTAATCTAATTTTCGTAGATCAAAATTATTTTTTTGATAAACTTAAACTCGTTTTTATAATTTTATTAAAAAAATAAACTTTTGAATGTCTAACCACACCCTAAAAAAAACTTATAACGACTTCTCTCATTTTTCTTAATTTTAAAATTCTTTTACGTTTCACGGTCCTAAAAACATCAGGACAATTGGTCATTAGAAATTCTGGCAAGTGTACTCCCGTTCCTCTAATTAAAATAGTCCTCGGAACTTATCACTCATTCTTCTCAAGAATCCCAAAAAAATTTAGTAGCCCTTACCACTATTTAAGTCTATTAGGAACAGAGCTCTTCCTTCCACGTACCGTTTGTCCTGGCTGCAGAAGGTTTACTTATGAGACTTTTCTTGCAAAGCTCAGCTGAATTTCTGATCTCCCTGGGCTGCTCATTACCAGTAATCCTTGCAGGAGCAACTTCCACCAACAAAATGATGGAATCTGTTTGAATCTCTCAAGATGATAGGCCTCCCAATAATTTTAGAAACCAACTTCATGAACATGTGGCAATCACCACAAACACGAATGTTCTTCATAATCCTAATGGGTGTTGTTGCATGGGGCTTTTTAATCAATCCAAATGCAAGAGCAAGTTTCTCACTATGGTAACAAATGGATGCAAACTTTTCCTCCTCCACCACATTATGAAGAACCAGCTTTGTATCAGGCATAAAGCCAGCTTCCTGCAATTTCTTGATCAGTCTGCTCAGTTCTTCATAAATTATTTCTGTTAGGGGATGAGTTCGATCTTCTGCTACAAACTTGTGAACTTCATTATCAATCTCAATCCAACTATAAGCAGCAAACTTCTTGACATTCTTACTTTTCATGAGAGATCTCACTGATGCCACATCTTCCCATCTTCCACAGGTGGCATACATGTTAGAAAGCATGATGTAAGGTCCTGCATTTAGGGGGTCCAGTTCAAATAGACACTTAGCAGCCATCTCCCCATGTTCAATGTCACCCTTCATTGCACAGACAGAAAGAAGGGTTGACCAGATTAAGGAATTTGGTTCATGGGGCATATTTTTAATTAGATCCACTGCTTCTCTCATGCAACCTGAACGGCCAAGGAGATTGATCATGCATGCATACTGATCCAAAGTGGGTACTAATGCATGCTGTTTACTGATAGAATCAAAATATCTACGTCCTTCTTTAATTAAACCAGCATGGTTACAAGCAGATAGAACAGCCACAAAGGTAATACTATCAGGTTTCAAGTTTTCTTGCAACATCTTTTCATAAAGGGCCAGGGCCTCTAAATCCTGTCCATTCTGTGCATAACCCCTAATCATAGCATTCCAAGAAACTATATTTCTGGATGGCATCGTATCAAAAACAACCCAGGCATCCTTAGTTATTCCACATTTGCAATACATATCAACAAGGGCACTAGACACAAGCAAATCATCATCAACTCCCGAAAGAATGGCTTTCCCATGAACAACCTGACCATGACACAAAGAGGCTAATTTTGCACAGGAACTAACCACACTAGAAATCGTAAAACTATCAGGGTTGACACCTTCTAATAACATCTTGCTAAACAAATTCAGAGCACCTTCTTCCCTTCCATTCTGTGCATAACCAACAATCATTGTCGTCCAAGCAACCTTATCCTTGTTTTTAATCATGCTAAAAACCTTACTTGCTTCATCTATCAATCCACTTTGAAAATAAGCGCCAAGAACATTCGAGACTGTGACCTCATCAGGTTTCAAACCACCTACCTGCATCTCCTGAAACAAATAAATACATTTCTCAGGTTGCCCGTTTTTCAAATAACCAGAAATCAATGAGTTCCATGAAACTACATTTTTATTACTCATTCTATAAAACAACCACCTTGCTCTATCAATCTCGCCACACTTCGCATACATGTCAGTCAAAGCATTCCAAACAAAAACATTCCTTCCCAAACTACCAACAAGAATTCTACCATGAATCTGTTTCCCTTTCCTCAAATCCAATAACCGTGAACACGCATTCAACACACTCACATGAGTATAGTCAGTTGACACAAACCCCTCTCTATTCATCCTCAAAAAAACCTCAAGCGCGTTGCTGGAAAACCCGCTCCCAGCCAAACCTGCAATCACAGTATTATAAGAAACAGAATCACGAAAAGGCATTTGATCAAACAGCGCTCTCAAATTCTCAATAGACCCCGATTTTGCATATGCAGAAAGCATGGCGTTCCAGGAGATAACATCTCTTCGAGGCATTTTATCGAACAGGACTCGAGCATCTGATACTTTCCCAAATTTGGCATACAAGTGAAGGATACGATTGTGTAAAAACGTGTCATTAGGTGTAAAATGGTGAAGATCCATGTGAGATTGCAATCTCTTGGCTTGATCAACATCGTTGGCTCGAACACATTCGAGCACAAGCAGTGTATACGCTGCAGCTGTTGCTTGGCAACTGGTGTACAGTGAATCAATTGCCTGGCACAACTTTTGCCTGGCTTTCATTTTTTCCTTTTTTTTTTTTTTATGGCAGGGAATTTTTAATGGCGGGCAAATACAACGTTATGCGGTTAGATAGATCCAAGGAACAGTAAATGGGAATTCATGGAGTTCACGTGATATCCATTGGGATACCCAATGTTTACTGATGGACAATTAAATTTTGGGAACTGTAGTACATTAGTAAATTTCTTTTTTTATCTTTTGTCAACGGTAAAATATTAAAATTTTAATTTTAAATAATTTTAAATATGAAAATTTCTTTAATTATGATAATAAATAATTTTATATTTGAGTTTTATAAAAAATTATTAATCTCAAATATTTTATCTCATAAATTATGAGATATAATATATATTTTTAACTCGTAAAATTGAATATTTTGTATTTTTAAGACATAATTCTTTTTTTTTAAAATAAATTTGGGGGGAGGAGGTTCATGATGGAGACAGTTAGATATAATAAAATAACTTAAATCCCACTGCATATTTTTATTTGAATTTGTCTTTGAATTTACTTTGGACATTTTCCAAGTTCTAAATTAAATGTCATATTCATACATTTGGTGTTGCCTGCAGCTGGGATGTTTTGAAAAAAAATCAACTGATTGTATTAATTTAGTGCGTAATTAACGCTTAATTAACAACTTTTATTTGGAGCATAAAATTAATTCACACACACACCGAAGCACACTTCATATGAAACCTAAATGAATCAAAAAATATGAAAATCCCCACAAATAATATCATCCTCGTAACAAAATTTTCATATATAACTAAAGAAAAAAATTCTGAAAGAATAATATTTATATATTCAAAATTATAAAAAATTATATTATAATCATTAAAATTAAAATTTTAACATTCTGTTAACCTATCAACATGATTATTCACAGTTTGTGATGAATTTTAAGCCACACATGCACTTTATTACAAATTTACAACACCATTTATCAATGAATTTACAATAATAAAATAAAATAAAAACTTATCAAAGCATTAATTCATCAACTTCGTGTCTTCCATTTCACTTCTCAACTTAAAAAAAAAAAAAAGACAAAGTAATAAGACTGTAAATGAATAGAATATAAATGAATAAACGAATATTTGTAATTTATTTATTTATTTTTAGAGATATTTAAATTCAGTTTATGTTTAATAAAAAATTATTTTATTTATTCAAGTTTAATTTATTTAATTTAAATGATAAGATATTTACGTTTGATTATTATTCGATTCAATTAAATTAAATGATTTCGTTCGTAACTCTTAAATAAATGAATATGTTTATAGATAATAAATAAACCATAACCAACTTAATTTAAATAAATAAACTATAAATAAATATAAATAAACCTAAATGAATATAAATAAATCTTAAAATAAAAATAAAATAAAAAATAAAAATATAATTTTATTAATATTATTATAAACGAATAACAAATAAATGATAAACGAATAAACTTTAAACAAAATTTAAATAAATTTGTTTATAAAGATAAATAATTAAATAAATCTTTATTCATTTATTTAATAAATAAATATAAAAATATTATTTAAAATTATTTATTAAATTTAATAAATAAATATAAACAAATAAAAATTAAATATATTTACGAATAATTCTTTATTAAACTCTTTTCTATTACACCTCACAGACCATACGGATGCTTGGAAATTTAAAACTATAACCGTTCACCGCATGCGCTCCTGGCTCGGCTCGGCTGCCCCTGGAGAAACAGTTCCATCGTTTTCTTGCTTTTCTCACCAATTGGAACACTTTCTTTTTTTTTTCTTTTTCTTACAAAAGCAAACCAAAGCCTTTCACTGTCCAAAATTCTGTCTTTTTTTTAACTTTATTTTCTCTTTGACATTCCCGGAACTTCGATTTTGTGTCCTTTAATGTCAAGCAAGAATTTTCACTAATCCAAAAAAGCAAAAAAACCACAGTAAAGTAACCACCTCTCCCATAATCTTCATCTCTAAGCCCGTTTAATTATTGGCAAAAAAAAGCCCCTTTAATTTGTTCTTATTTTTTCTGTTTAATTATTTTATTGCTAGAAAATTTTAATATGACGAGTAGATTAAGGGAAAGAGACAGAACTTCTAGCCAAGCCAAACGATACAATCATCATCAAGAAGCTATAACGAAGACGGCCGTGGAAGCAGCGGCGGCGGCGGTGGCGATGCCTAATAATTTTACTGAAACGATACCGTGTCCATTCGGGGAGTTGGCGACGAATTTATCAGATGCGGAGCTCCGAGAGACAGCTTATGAGATTCTGGTCGGAGCTTGTCGGAGTTCTGGTGGGAAACCATTGACTTACATATCGCAGTCGGAGAGGAATTCGGAAAGGGCGGCGACGCCGACGTTGACGTCGACAGCGTCGTCGTTGCAGAAGTCGTTGACGTCGACGGCGGCGAGTAAGGTGAAGAAGGCTTTAGGATTGAAATCGTCTCGGAGGAGGAAAGTGAGTGGTGAGTCGGACTCGGAACGAGCAAAAAAGGCGGTTACAATTGGGGAGTTGTTGAGGGTTCAGATGGGAGTTTCAGAGCAAACAGATTCCAGGGTCAGGAGAGCTCTCTTGAGAGTTGCTGCCGCTCAGGTTTGTTAAAAAAAAATGCAAAGTAAATTTTCTTTTAAAAGTTTTACTAAGAAAAGCAACGGCCTTTTCTGGCGTAATTATAAGTTAGCTTTTGGTTTTTGTGTTTGTGTCAGCTTGGTAGACGGATAGAGTCAATGGTGTTGCCACTTGAGATGTTGCAGAAACTCAAGCCTTCGGATTTTCCGAATCAAGGAGAGTATGAAGCTTGGCAGAGGAGAAATCTGAAGCTTCTTGAAGCTGGACTCCTTTTGCATCCTCTCTTGCCCCTAGATAAGACCAATACTGCTCCACAGCGACTACGACAAATCATTCGTGGGGCATTGGAGAAGCCCTTGGAGACTGGAAAAAACAATGAATCGATGCAAGCCCTCCGGAGCATTGTTTTGTCTCTTGCTTGTAGAACCTTTGATGGGTCTGTTTCTGAGACCAGCCACTGGGCAGATGGATTCCCATTGAATCTCAGAATTTACCAAATGCTGTTAGAAGCTTGTTTTGATGTTGATGATGAAACATCTGTTATTGAAGAGGTCGATGAGGTTCTAGAACTCATAAAAAAGACATGGGTCGTCTTCGGAATGAACCAGATGCTGCATAATCTTTGTTTCTTGTGGATATTGTTTAACCGATATGTGGCAATTGGTCAAGTGGAAGGTGATCTGTTGTTTGCTGCCAATAATCTGTTGATGGAAGTTGAAAAGGATGCAAAGTCAATGAAAGATCCAGATTATTCAAAGATACTAAGTTCTACTTTGAGTGCAATTTTAGGTTGGTCTGAGAAAAGGCTTCTTGCCTACCACAATTATTTTCATAGTGACAACACTGAGTCAATGGAATATGTTATTTCTATGGGGGTTCTATCAGCAAAGATTATGGCAGAAGATATCTCACATGAGTATCATAGGACAAGAAAGGAAATTGATGTGGCTCATGAGAGAGTTGATACCTACATAAGATCATCACTGCGCACTGCTTTTGTTCAGGCAAGTTTCCAATGTGTCAGCATAATGTCCCTACTTATGAATGGGCAGTACAAGATATGAAGGCTCCTATAGTTTAATATCATGTCATTAATTCATCTTAACATTTTCTGCATGATAGATAGGTTTTTAGTATTTGCAACTTTTTGCTGGCATCTTAAATATGAAAATTTTCCTATTGTGTCGTCTTTTCTGAGCATCATCTTTTTTTTTTTTTTATGAAAATAGCTTTTCTTCTTGCTAAACCATGATCTTTGTTGTTTTATTAGCTTTTAAATTATATATTTAGACCAAGCTCTTTTTCTCTTTCTGAAATATGTATTTGACCAAGTTTTCCTGTTAAATTTGTCTGAAAGATGTTCAAGGTTCTGTCTGTTGATTGCTTTTAGACAGATAAAGGAGAAAGTGAAGTCTAGCAAACGTTCAACTAAGAACCAACAAAATCAGCTTCCTTTCTTATCCATTCTTGCACTGGATGTCACTACAATGGCTTTTACTGAGAAGGCAATATTTAGTCCAATATTGAAGAGGTGGCATCCTCTTGCAGCCGGTGTAGCTGTAGCCACGCTTCATTCCTGCTATGGGAATGAGCTGAAGCAATTTGTTTCTGGCATTGGTGAATTGACACCAGATATATTACAAGTTCTGAGAGCTGCTGACAAATTGGAGAAAGATCTGGTGCAAATTGCAGTTGAAAATTCAGTGGACAGTGAGGATGGTGGAAAGTCAATCATAAGGGAGATGCCTCCTTATGAGGCTGAATCTGTAATTTCCAATCTGGTGAAATCATGGATAAAGACAAGATTAGACAGACTGAAGGAATGGGTTGACAGGAATCTGCAACAAGAGGTATATGGGTTTTGTTCCTTTTCTTTAATACATTGATGGTGGTTTGGATGAGATGAAATATTCGTGTGTTCTTTTTCAAGTCTAACAGGATATTGTTCCTCTTAACATAAGGGCTGAAGATGCAAGCTCTTTAGCAGGGAGATTCTGTTTATGTTTGTAGATTATTCTCAGGTTCAAGCTTCTGCCTTGGCTTGAATCTCATTTTAGTTGCTAATACAGACCCTTCACTGCTATGCTTGTCTATTTCTCTTCTCTTCGTAGGTATGGGACCCACGAGCGAATAAAGAGCACTTTGCTCCCTCTGCTGCTGAAGTTTTGCGAATTGTAGATGAAGCTTTAGAAGCATTCTTTTTGTTACCAATATCTATGCATGCTGCGTTGCTTCCTGAGTTAACCACCGGTATTGACAGATGTCTTCAACATTATATATCAAAGGCAAAGTCTGGCTGTGGTATGTATTATATAGCCTAGAGAAGACCAATGCATGGATATTTTTTCCATTTCTTCCGAAATCAATTTTGACTAAAACTGAAAGGAAAATACAATACCTTTTGATCTACAGGGACCCGAAGTACTTTTGTTCCCTCAATGCCTGCTTTGACTAGATGTTCAACACGCTCAAAATTTCCTGGTGTATTTAAGAAAAAAGAAAAGTTTCAAATAGCACAGAGTAGGAAATCTCAGGTTGGGACTACAAATGGAAATGGCTCCTTTGGAATACACCAGCTGTGTTGTCATATTAATACTCTGCAGCATATTCGAATGGAGTTGGATGCGTTGGGAAAAAGGACAATTGCCCATCTTAGAAATTCTGAATCCACTCATGTGGACAATATTGCCAGTGGGATGGGTAAAGCATTTCAACTTTCAGCTGCTGCTTGTGTGGAAGGGATCCAACAACTCAGTGAGGCAACTGCATATAAGGTCATCTTCCATGATCTAAGTCATGTCCTTTGGGATGGCTTATATATTGGGGAAGTTTCGTCCTCTAGGATTGAACCTTTTCTTCAGGAGCTTGAGCACTATTTGGAGGTTATTTCATTAACCGTGCATGACAGAGTCAGAACACGAGTTATTACTGAAGTAATGAAAGCTTCTTTTGATGGTCTTCTGCTGGTTTTACTTGCTGGAGGTCCTGCTCGTGCTTTTGGTCTGCAAGATTATGAAACAATAGCAGAGGATTTTAAGTTCTTGACTGATTTATTTTGGTCCAATGGTGATGGACTTCCTGCTGATTTAATAGAAAAGTTTTCAACCACGGCTAAAGCCATCCTCCCATTATTTCATACTGATACCGACAACCTGATTGAACAATTCAAATACATGACTCTAGAGAGTTATGGTTCTTCTGCTAAATCCAAGCTTTCATTGCCTCCAACTTCCTGTCAGTGGAGTCCAACTGAACCAAACACACTCTTGCGAGTTTTGTGTTATCGGAATGATGAGACGGCAGCTAAGTTCCTTAAGAAGACTTACAACTTGCCAAAGAAACTCTAACAAAATTTCTGGAGAAAGAACAGTCAAATGATGCAATTATTAGGTATAAACTACTTGAGGTGATTCATGTAGCTTTCCAAATTTGTCAAGTCATAGGTATTACAGCCTCGCTAAAATTCATATGGTGGAGACGTTTGCTAGAGAAATTATAGCTCCTAGGAAAATATGGCTCCTGTATAGTAATTTTCTTGACTGGATTCTATTTGTTTGAGACCTTAACCTGGTGCGGGGAACCTCATAAGAATAATGGCAACAGTTAAAGCACTTCCAAGAGATTATAATTCTGACTTGTGGGAAGGGTGAGGATGATGGGATTTTTAACATGATTACCATCTGCTGCACATGGAGTTGGAGATGAAACATTAGAAGGCATTTGATGAAAAAGCAGTGTGAGGTTCTTGGCCATTCTTTATATATATATATATATTCTTTTTCTGACCATTTGTAACATTATTCCTCGACAAGTGAAAACCAAAATTGCAAGATACAACTATAGAAAGGTCTGATATCTTATTGAGAAAATTTGAAAAGTTTTTGTTCTGCTTCAATGAATTGGCATTGTGTTTGTCTGTTGTTTAACAGCCTTTGTTTAGAAAATTGTGTTGCTTGTTAAATGAAATGAATTTTTGGCTATTGTGAACAGATCCTTCTTATTAACATCTTTCCAGGCTAATAAATGGATCACACGAATGTTAAGGAATTTTTTTTTCCTTTTTTTTTTGGCATAGACAAACGTCTGAATCACGAAGGTATATGTTGATGGAGATTTATGATCATTTTGAATAGACGTTGATATTGATTTTAATGAAAAATGATATTAATTTCGATGAAATTAAAAATAATAATACAAATAACTGTAATTGTAATTAAAAAAATTACTGTTATTGAAAAAAATTTTCATAAAAAAATTTATGTTGAATAAATTTTATTAAAATTGATATTTAAATTCAATTGATCCAAATCCTCATTTTAGAAGATGAAATATTATGAACAAATGCAAAAATTGATAGGTGCTTTCTTTCTCCGAAAACTGAGATGTTAAACATTATGATGATTTAGTACAGATTACAAAGATCAATTGAATACTGCAAAATCTTTTTTTACTTGGGATTTTTGTATTTCTCTAAGGAAAATCACCTACCATTGCCTGAATAACCAAATCCCCTCTCTAAAAGGCTTCCGAGTATAATTCTATAGAGTTACAGATGATTTCACCATTGCTACAAATATTGTGTTTCTTAGTGCCATGGATTCTTCTTTTTTCTTCCGTTTCTTTTTGGACTGCTTGTTGAGCTAGTTTTCTGCCAAAACAAAAAGTCGACAACGATGTATAGGTAAACATCTCAAACATCTATCGTCTGTGTTTCTTATATGTGGATCATTGACTAATAATACAAGGATTGAGCAACTTATTTATTCTAGATTTTTAGTTGAAAAAAATATAATGTAAGGATTATACATACCGATTTTGATTTCTTTGTCTTTCCTCGAATCCTGTTCTTTGAAGGCTTCAGTTTATATATCCGAACCATCCAATGATGAGTTGTGAATACCTAATTTGACCAAAAAAAAAAAAAAGACAGAAATCTGATTAGGAAAATTCGTGATAGAGAAAAATTAATCATTACTCATTCACCATGTCTACTGTAACATCCACATCCTGAGAATTCTAGTAGTCAAATATCGAACAATCTGAGTGGTGGGGCATATTTATAATTTGCAGGCGTCCGCATTTGAAGAGCAAAAGATGGAAATTTCTCGCATTCCAAAAGTATGTCAGAATTTTTGTCAATTTAGCAAAAAAATCACATGTACCGTGATGAATGAAATTATTTGAACAAATGTTATAGGCAAATTTTCATCACCCGAAGGTTCTACTTGAATAAAATGGAAATTGGGATCATCTAACCTCCTCGAAATGAGTGAGTTTAAAATATTTCTTTCCAATTTCTGTCTGCCTAACTCTATCGAAGCCTTTCCCATCAGTTTCCACAAATCTGTAGATATGTAATTAAGGGATAAAGTATTTGTGCTAAAAACAAAACTGACCAAAACCACAAACTTAAAAGTTAACAGAAAGCAGACCTGTAATACGAGAGCTTATACATTAGGCAATTTAGCATGGTTGGAGTGGCCTGGGAATCAATCCGATACTGACCATCTCTCTGTGGACAGAAGGCAAGTTACAGAACAGTAATAATTATAATTAGTGAAATTACCGAGTCAGGAGGGAAGCTTAAATAGAGTCTAATTTCTTAGCCCAAATAAAATATCCAGTCTAACTCAGTGCAGTAACATTCTATTACCGAGAAACCCAAAAAAATATTATTCACTAATTGTTCCTTAGTAGTTTGCTCTTTTGACATGCTCAAACTTCAAGATAATAATATCTAATATGTAATTCTCTTTCATTAACATTTTTAATTTTGTTCTACCTTTGTCCTTATTGTTTCAGCACAAACTTCATAATACTTAACAAGGGTATTTTTCTGGAAAAAAGTAGGATCTTTATTGTTTAACTTTCAAAAATAGACAAGTGTGATTGAGACTCCAAAACAGGAAAAGAAGACCAAAAAGATGGAACAAAGGTGTATTTTTTAAGCAGTGCCAGCACAGAGAACTTGCCAGGTAATCAGGTTCCTTGATATGAGGAAACACACCACCTCCTATTCGAACCATCCACAAGAACTTATTAATATCATCACTGGGGTAGCCAACAAGACCTAATGAGTGAAGTAAATAGTCAGAACAATAATGTATTAAGAAAGCATATTTCAAGTAAACAAAAAAGAAATCAAACCTCCAAAGACGACAAGAACATATTTTACATCCAAAGAGTGGAAAATTTCCCAAGCTGCCTTTTCAGGAGAAGACATCGCAGTACCAACAGTTGCAATATGAGTATTGTTCCAGGTATTATTGTCAACAATGACCGTGCGGTTAGCCATAGCAGTGGTTTGGTAACCATAGTCCCACCACGATGCAACCTGCCAGGAGTTTCATTTGACACTGTCAAACTGAACATTTTTTTTTTGCCAACTTATGAGGTTAGAATATGTTATATTTAACAAAACAGTAAGCTGCTAAATGCAAAACAAGTCCATTCTGAGGAACAATAAGACGAAAACACACAAATCAGCAAAAATATCACCAATAAGGAATCAGGGCCAACCCATTATATGCTCAACGTATCAATATTGACCACACAGATTGAAAAAAAAAAATTTCCACTATTTATTCTACAAAAATACAGGTATCAAGAAAACTTCCTGCCCAACAGACAGATTGCCGAAATTAACATTCCAAAGCTGGAAAAAGATAAATCTTTGAAATCTAGAAAGCTAAGAGTGGAGAAATACCACATAGAGAACTTACTTTATCATCAACATCAGTATTATGGCGCAACCATGCATATGCCTCTCTAAAATCATCAAAAACATGTAGACCATCATGTGAATGAGATGTTAAAACTATTGAGGGGGCTGAATAAGCTTCTGCTGCAGCCCAAACACAATGAACCTGCAGAGAAAAGTGCAACAGTTTGACAGGCTTTTTACAATTAAATTAGGTATTCAAGGAAATTTCATTGAAAAAAAGATAAGAATAGAAAGAGTAACAAATTTTTAATTCCCATTGAGACATATTTCGAACAGTGCAACTTTTAATTTATGCATTCTAGTCAAGACATTCATGGTAAGACTACATTGAGGTAGCCAAATTCATTGTTGAAAAAAAAGAGAGACCACCAGCTTTTAAATGCCATAAGCATCACTACCTATCATTTAGGAACTTTTATATGACATGTCTGAAACAAGACTAAATATCAGAAGGGGGCAACAACTATTTCATATGAAAACAACATTGGGTAAACTGCATTGGGTAAATTACATGTTTAGTCAACATAAATTTACATTGGGTAAACTACATGTTTCAGAAGAAGGCAACAACTGTTCCATATGAAAACAGCATTGTAGCATATAAGAACAATTCAACATAAATTTACATTGGGTAAACCACATGGTTAGTCACTTCCAGGATTTTTTTTTTTTTTTTTTGGTCACCCAACTATGAAAATTACAATTTAATCATTCACATTAATAACATTTGGTTTTTTGGTCACCCAACCATATAGGGCCAGCTCACAATCCACATAGCGGTAGTGACAGCTCACAGTGTTATGGGGTTTTTGGGCATTCCAAACCCATAAGATGATGGAGAAGGGTAGAGGAAGAGAACGGAAGTGGTTTGGGGGCAAACAATAGGTGATTATAACATATATCCACCTAGAAGGTAAGAAAAAAGCTAACTAAACAAATCCTTCATTACAACCAGAACAACCTCTCAGAAGCTACAGGTCAACATCATATCATAACCATAACAGTCTACTAAGTGATATATTAACTTCTATAATGAAAACACAGGCAAAAACAAGCAATTAGAGGATATAAAATGGAAAATTAAAATACCACATAGAAGGCACCCAGCAAGACAAGTAGGAGAAGAGAAATCACAGATGCCTCCAAAGGTAAAGCAAGAAGCCTCTTCTTCTCAACTTTGGCTTTGGTGGAAGGTTTTTCCACATGCTCCCTTTCCTTCTTCTTGCTCTTCCTCGAGGATCGATCCTTTAATGTCTCCTCAGATTTTCCTGTATTAACTGCATCATTCTGTGCTTCAGCAGTAGCAGAACTAGTTTCCCCTGCCTTAATGATCAGAAGCAGCAGAGAGGAATTTCAGTTCTGTAGCTAAATGACTTTATCAAATGATTGGCAAAGTATAAACTTATAGTATGAGCCTGCTCACATGAACTTCAGCGTTGCTTGATAGTCCAGGTAGCTGAAACTTGATTGATCTGGTGAAAACATCAAAAGCTTGGGAGAGAGCAATTCCAGATGTGATGCATGCAGCTGGAGCAAGCACAAGCATTAAGCGTACCTGTAAAATTAGACCATAAGACGCTCCACATGATTAGCACAGAGGAATGGGAAGTAATGACTTGAAATTGACAGTGTCCATATTCCTCTTACCATCACTCCAGAGAAATATACGGATGTTGCAATATAGAGGACTACAAACGAGCTTGCATCTGATAAAGGCAAAAAGCATGCCTTCCAACGAGGGAAAGAAAAATTATCAATCACACAGCATAAACTCTTAAGTTACACGCAAAAGCCACAATCATTCCAAAAGCTTAAGACTTACAATGATACCAGCTGGAACCAAGAATGCCAAAACATTAATGTCCATGAAGTAAGATGGCCAAGTAGGTGGTTGATGTTCACTAACACTAGCAATGATTGGTATATATTTGCTTGCATATGTACTGTCAAAATGCAGTAAAAAATGGAAAAGAAGTTACATAGCTATTTTTGAACAACTGTGATTGAACAAATGGCACAAGGGATTAAAAAACTGTTTGCATGGGCAAACTAATTAGTGCAAACAGATCAGATATCTTTCTGGGATCTCATTTAGGTCTTAGGTTTTAAGAATCTGCATAGCACAGAACGCCCCTCAAAATTAGATCCATGCCAACCAAGATATTAAGACAATTTCAGTTTCAAGGTGCATCAGACTGCACTATCCTCTACTAAAATTCCAGCCACTGCTCTTCATTCACAGCTTCAAACAGAGAACATTAACATGTAAGATAACAAAATGAATTAGGTACTTACGGGTCAAGCAGACTTAAGCTTCGTCCACTCCATCCCTTTGTTGGACTGGAAGCTACTAATGCTATAAGAACAGCTATCACAGCACAACACACTGCCCTGAGAAAAGAAATGATACGAGTTCATTTCATCCTCCATCTTATCATATGCTTATCTGTAAATATACAGAGCAAGTCCACAAGGAATATAATTTATTGTCAAATGTATGCTGAATTGATTAATAAGAAAGTTTAAGTTTAAGTCACAGTTTATTCACTTTTTTTTTTCTTAGTTCCCATTAGTATATCAATTCATGTTTTTAGAGAAGAAAGCTTACAGGCCAACAGATACAACAAGTGTCACAGCAACTTTAAACATTTTTGGGGAAAGAATCCCCTTGATATAGTACACAAAAGCCACCACGTGGACAATAATGAAAACCTGGAGGGGGAAAACAGAATTTGATCAAAGAGCAAGGAGTAGCATCATATGAACCAAGAATTACATGAAACAGGAAGGAAGAAGAAACTGGGGGCAGTGACAACAAAAACCAAAAAAGAAAAAGATGTGCGCTATTTCGGCAATCTGAACAATACTGTGAGGAATTGGGGAAATTTTGATGTTATTAGCATATGCTAACAAGATTTCAAACACTTCCCTCTTTTATTTGTCCCTTGTTCTAGAGCCCACAACACATCCTTGAACCAGTGATGTCATTGGGCGTTTAAAATACAATAGTTGGTCGTACAGCCAGAACTCAAGTGAAACAGTTAATAACACGAAATGCTACCAAGAATAACTGACTAGGACACAGTTGATTAAGCTATTGACAGTTATCCATACCTAAAAAAGGCGGGCTATAACTACGCGAGATTGACAAGACAAATGAATTGCAACAAGAAAAACAAAGAGAATACAAAAGGCAGCCAACAATTCAGGGAAAAATAAAGGAAAAAGCTCACCAAAAATGATGCAAAATGTTCTGATGTCATGACAGCATTAAACCCAACTACTGGCACCAAAGCAGCTAGCAATGTTCCCAAAACAACCTGCAGCCAAACACTTACAATTTCAACTAAAATCAAGAAAGTCCAAGTAGAAATCTCCAATTCTCCAGAAAGATTTGTGTCCCCCATTCAAGAAAAAAAAAGGTACATGTAATACACAATTATGAGACCTTTATTAGTTGAACAGAGAAGGAAGACTAGAACAGACCTTTATTAGTAGAATGACCTTCTATCCACAAACACAAAGTAAAGGTCAAATTAAATGTAATACATAAATGCATGCCCAAACAAGTTTGAGCATGCATATGATAGATAAAAAAAGCTCAAGCATTTAGGAGTTCAATAAGATATTATAATTTTCCACACTGCCAATCAATCTAAAGCCTCTATAAAATGTTTTTAATTTTCCTAGGTCTGTTTAACCTCAGCAAAAGCCTGTCCCTTCCAGTTTTCCGCAAAACATCAGTTTCTGAAAAATGCTAATCATTGTTGACAACTGTTACCATCAGTTCTTCAATAGAATACTGAAACACATATTCCTATTGTTTATTGACTAGTATTGAAGCTTCCTGCGTGACGCAGATACTTACCAGAGGAGCATATACAATGTACAATCGAGAAGAATAGCGACCAGTTACAATGCATAGAAGCACATGCATTGGAATGAGGTTAATAATGAACGTGTATCCTCCCCAAGAGCAGACCTGGAAAACAAAAAAATTTACTGAGAAACATAAACAATGAGTCAAAATAAGGAAATGGATAAATATTAGCACAAGAAGCCTACCATATAAAAGTATGCAATTGAATTTAAGGTGGCATAAAACAGGGATCCAGTATTTAGTGTCTGCAAATAACCAATAATGAAGAGAATGGTCAGACCCGAAAATAATTAATGGAAGGAAACTCCAACCAAAATCAATAGCAGGATACCTATAAAAGGTGAGATACTATTCACCGGTAAATTAAATCTGGCAGTACCTCAAACATTATAACTCAAAATTATAGGAAATTAAATGAATTTACTTCAATCAAAGTCTAACCTTTATATAAAGATAAAAAGTGAAGATCAAAGCAAATATTGCTACAGCTTCATTGTCATAGCTACCAGCCACGGAACGTGAGATATATGATGGAACCTACAAAGAAGGACACAAATGAATTGAACAAAGATGTCAGTCATAAGACATGTTAACACCATAAGTTGATATAGGAAAAAGGCATTGCCATATATTGTCAACAAAGACACATATACAGGCAAGTAAAAACAATGGTAAGTTTTACGTATCAAAGCACAGTACAATATGATGTTCAACCACTAATGCTCAAACTTGAAGTTTAAAGTAACTATAATGAATAAATGAATGAACTCTGATAATGCTACAAATATCTCTTTCATGATTTACCATGGCCAAAAGAGCAGCAGCTGTTAGGCCAGCACCAGCACCCTTAACTTCCTATGAAAAAGGCAAAAGAATATCAACAATAAACTGAGGTCAACAATATAACAATTAACTAAACTAAACAAATAAATTTAGGGAAGAACAAAGACCTTAGTCAAAAGGTATGTTGCCCATGAAGCAAAAGCAGAGAATATAGGAGCAGTGAAAACACATACAGTCTCCACTGACAGTGGAATGTTTAAAGAATTTAACAACCTGATGCAACAGGGAAAGAGAAACAAATCAAATGCAAGTAATGGCAAATATATATGAAAAATAAATTAGCAAATTTTAACAGATACAGTTTTTTTCCCTATTAACTTTCAGGAAAACATACCACCATAAGGTGCCAGCTGTCAAAGTCAACCCAGGATAAACGGTTCCGCCTATCACACGCCCAAGAGGGTACCTTGATTATACCAAAAGCAAAAACATTCTACTCAAACCCCAAGTAACAACATAGCTTAAACCAAAAACATCATAAATTAACTACCAATTAGCGATTACCAGGTTCGATCATCAAACCAATTCCAAAATTCATATATTCCCTTCTTTGTAAGAAACTGAAACAAACAAAATAACCACATCATCTTGGTATGTAACTTAAGTTACCAAAAAAATTGACAAGAATAACCAAACGGATATAAAGGAACTAAAAATAGCAATAAATTGTAAATGAGAGGGGAGACTGAGTCAAGTAACCTGAGTGACTCTATAATTAAAGTAAGGATCGAATTCGTGAATAACACTCTCGTATTTGATAACCTGAAGAGATAAAAGTCCACAAGAATCTCAAATAGTTAACCAGTTCATTTGAAAAAATAGAAACAAAACATCATTTTTTTTCTTCACATTCCTCCAACTTTCTCATCATCCAAAAGAAAAAAGATTCAAATTGAGCAATCATTAAAAAGAAAAAGACAAAATTTCTTTAGCGGGAAAAGGGCAAAATTTTAATTTTTGAAAGAACATTACAGATCGGATCTAGAAGATTGTCGAAGCGAGAGAAATAAAAGATCTTACGGAGAATAGGCGGATCGAGAAAGCAAGAACTCCAATAAGAAGGAGGATGAAGAAAGAGAGAACGCCACCGAAAGCGTTTCGTAAGGTTTTGTTGGTGTATAGCCTTGGGACGGTGGTGATTGAGGTCTCCGGGGCTGTCATTGACGGTCAATCAACGGTCCGATGCGAAGAAACAAAAAGAGAGAGGGTGGGTAGGTGGTTTTTGGCGTTGCCGTTGTAGGGGTGTGTGTTTTGAGTAGACTGAAGAAAGAGAAGACTCGGTCAAAAGAGAGAATGAACGAGGGAACTACGAAACTCTCCTTCCCTATGAAATGACGGTACTGGATATTTTGGTGGAACACAATGACTATTTTGACCTTGTAGTTGCACGTGGCAGGATATTATTGTCCTTTGAGACGGACATGCCATTGGTTCAGTGGTGGGAAGTTTGCCACGTGGCATAAATTATTTGACCTTCTGATGGCAATTTTTTTGGTACATTTCTTTTTCAACCTTTTATTATTAACTAATTTCCTTTTATAAGAAACTTTGAAATTTAAAATTAAACGACATCATTGGTTAAAAATATAACTAATAAAAAAATTTAAATGACATTTTAAAGATGTAATAATCGAGACTTTTTTCGTTAAAAAAAAAAGCAAATTATGATATAAAAGAAAAAAACTTTAACTATTTGGCATTTATTTGTTTTGTCTTACTTAAATTTGTTGACAAAAAATTGCTTTCATTAAAGAGTAAAAATAATAGTTGTTACGAAAAGACTCAAAATCTTAAATCAATTTATAAATTTAATGTTAATAAAGAATTTTTTTTTTTTTTTTAAATATCAAGTCTAATTTCCCACTGCCAACGAATTTTTCATCTAATTTGATTCACTTTTCTAACATCGTGGCCTGCCGCAATACATAAACATGTGAAAAAAAAACAATATCATATAACACTGCTTCATTTTATTTAATTCAAAAATATAAAGCGAGAAAATTTATTAATTTTTATTATATAATATTTTTTAACAATTGCAAATTAGAATCACTCTTAACATACAAATTACACATAATATTAGATTTAAGAATTAAAACATTAAAAAAAAAGAAAAATATTACAAAAATGTATTAATTATATAATAAATTTTCTAGTTTCACTGGCAATGCCTTAAGATGGACATTAACTTACATGCAAGCAACTGCCTGCATCTTTATGCGAATTTCAGGACTGACCAACGACCCAGCAAATCATACATTCTTGTTTGTAAGATAGAAAGCTTGAAATATTAATTCAAAACGAAAAACAGTTGGAAAGAGGTTCAAATGCAAGAAATAAAGAATGTCCAAACAAGGAACACTACATTTTAATAAACATCCCATGATTAACAAAGCCTCAACCCCACACCCTTTAAAGAATTAGAGATTACTTTTTTTTTTTTTCCTACTTGCTAGCTCCAACCAACGAGAAACTGAAGAGAAATTGCATTCAACAGATTACTCACATGATTGCAGACTTGTTCTGAGCTTTCAACTACAACAGTAAAGAAAGAAGAACCTATAATAAACTTCTAAGCAAATACATCAGAATCGATTTGCTCAATATTGGGGAAAATTTGTCTCAGAGTAGCAGAATAATTTGGAGACTTTGCCTGCAATGAAACAATAAGCTTGATCATATACAAAGGTTAAGAGAGAAGAATGAATATTTAAGCCAGCATAGAGGATTGAGAAATGTAAACCATTAATCACCAATTGTGCAAGTAAAAGGCATTAATATAGATAACACAATAGCTACATTGAATGCAACACGCCAAGGGAATGATGATATAGGGAAAAAAAAATTTTTTGTTGAACTCAGGCCGGGCATTGGCCATAAAAAAACCTCATCCTGGGCAGGCACACAAAAAATTTAGATGGATATAATAAAACAGTGTGCACCAAAAGACAGACTTAGTAACTAGTGCCTTCATTCAATATGAATTCAGGAAAATAATAATTGAGATAAGATAACATGTGTGAAATCAGGAAAAGTGACACAAAGAATGGAGCTCAATAGCATAAAGATTAAGAGTGAATCCTGGTCCAACTATGATTTATGAACCAGATGGAGAACCAAAAATATCAAGATACTCGACCAATTAGCCATAGCAAAGCATTTGGGATCATAAGCATGCTGCATGCACAAAAGGTCTAGACATTTCAAGTCTTAAAGTTGCAAAACATACACATGGATTATTTTCAAGGTAGATAGTGGTGAGCTTTTCTCTTGAACCAGAAACAGCCTCAGCTATGTTTTCAAGTGATTCTATTTGGTTGTCATTAAGCCATAAGTCTTCCAATCTGCAGGTAAAATTAGTCAACAACTAAAGACAGGATAAGATCCCCCACAAGGAGAAGGGGAAATTACATACCTTGTCAAGTTTTGAATGTCATTTACTGATGTTAGCTTATTTGATGAAACATCTAAAACTCGGAGGTTGACCAATGTTGATAGGCCTTCCATTTTTGCAATACCATTGTGGCTCAAGTATAATTCTTCTAGGGCCATGCATTCCTTGAAAACAAAAAATCCTCAGAAAGACCTCATCAAAATGTCATGGAACTAAAAATATAGTTATAATAGCATTTTTAAAAGTGTCATACCTCCAATCCTATCATAGAAGTTAAACGATTACTTTGCAAGCTAATCTTCTTGATGCATCCAAGCCCACAAAGGTTTATCACTTTGATTCGGTTTCTTCCTAGCCACAGCTCTTGTAACTTTGTGAAATTTTGCAAATTTTCCATGACCTGAGATACGAAGATCCAAGAAAGCACCGCACAACTTAGATCATGCTCGAAAAAATTACTAATAAGACAACTCACCAATCTTATTCTTCAGTCTAAGGTGTGGACCAATCACTTTACTCCAACATTGAAACAATACCACAGTTGCTTGTTACCTTAAATAAGAAAGATTATTCAAGCAATTTAAGAACTAACCCGAAATCTGTTAGAACCAAGTTCAAGAATTTGCAACTCATGCAAGTGGTCAATCTCCTCCATCTTAGTAACTTCATTTTTGGAGACATAAAGTTCCTTGATTGTGTTGGAGGCCTTCAACAATCCGTGCAATGAAGTGATTTCATTGAAAGAAACATCAAAAACCAAGAGCTTCTTGAATATGCTAACATCGGGTATGTTCATCAGTTTATTGTCCCTAAGTACTAACTCCTGCACAAACAAATAAATAACCCCAAGCTTCTTAGTTGTAAGCAATGACTTGATGTGAATAAATTTCATGTTTTTTTTCTTACGTAGTTTCAATAATATTGAAGAATTAAAGGAATGAGATAGCCAAAACAAATGAAGTCTAGGATTACCTCAAGACCAGATAACGAGTCCCAGCTAGAGATCAGCTCGATAGCAGCATCGTCGATGAGGTTCTGCCGAAAAGAGAGCTTTTTGAGGTTAATGAGATTCGCAATCCGAAGGTCCAACCTCGATAAGCGATTCGCTGTTAGGTCCAACTCGGTAAGGTTTGGCGGCAATTCCACTGAGTCGAGATCGTGGAGCTGGAAACTGGTGAGATCAAGAGTGGTGGTGGATGATAGATCAATCTCCACCGTTTGATCATCCTGGTCCGGGTTTCTCTCTGGTTGTGATTCGGCTAGGTTTTGCATTTCTTCTGTGCGGTTGGGTACGCGAGGAGCTTCCGCGACCGTCGTGCAGCGGAATATTTCGTGTTTTCCACCTGATGTCTTCAAGGGAATATTATGCAAGAGAAACGACACTTCGAAACGGTGCCGTTAACGAAAAGCCAGCAATTAATTGGACCTGGCCGCCTAGGCGCTAAAAAAGGAGAGGAATTTGGATTTGGGCCTAGCCCTTTCTAAATATTGAAATCCAAAAAATTATGTACAATAAAAAAGCTGGTTAGCTATTTTTTTTTATCTTGAATTTTGATTATAGTGAGGGTTTTTAGCAATTAAGAATCGATTTTTCCATATTTAAAAATGTTACTTTCATTTATTAACTCACTTAATATTTAATATGAGCAGAAATTAAATAGATACATGCGCATTCTAACATCAGGGGACCTAAGCATGACTAACCTACCTATCTCAAGTTATGTCTTGCAGACTCCGAGAGCAGCATCTTCGTTTCTATGTATTCAAATTGATTCCTTTGACATTGCAGTCAACAGAAAAACTAGGAACAAAGTTGTTCTCTCATGTTTTCTGTCAGAGTACAACTGGTACTGAATCCCAATCTCCTATCCTAATCCTTCGTATGAACTTAACTCGGTTTCAGCTTCTGGTTCCCAGAACGCCTACTCGCAAAAACCTTACCACCACTCGTTCCCATCTCATTCACAATCTTGCTCCGACTGCTGTATCTTCCATTTCTGAAACGAACCCACCATTTCCATATCCAAACGCAGAAGGCCCATCCAAACGTTTGGCCAATCTATTATCAGACTGCACCCACATTCTCCACTTGGATCAAGTTTATGCCCACGTCATTCGCACGCGCGTTCTCGAATTGTACTTGGACGCCGTTTCATTGGAACAATATTATCCGATCCTACATCAGATTCAATGCTCCCATTAAAGCACTTTACGTCCACATTGCCATGTTTAAGAGCTGGACTCTTCCCCGATTGTTACACTCTCCCCATTATCTTGAAGGCCGCGTGTCAATGTTTGGCTATCAACATCGGCTTCCAGCTTCACTTTTTCTCTATTAAGATCGACTTTGAGTTAAATGAGTTTTGCGATAGCAGTTTTATTAAACCTTACACGAAAGCGGGAGAAATTGAAATGCTAGGAAAGTGTTTGACGAAAATCCGAATAGAAAATTGGGTTCTTGGAATGCCATCATAGGAGGACTTTCTTAAAGTGGGCGTGCTAAAGAAGCTATAGAAATGTTTTTGGAGCTAAAAAAAGGTGGTTTTTTGCCTGATGATGTGACTATGGTTAGTGTGACATCGTCTTGTGGTAGTTTAGGGGATCTGGAGTTGGCTCTTCAGTTACATAAGTGTGTATTTCAAGCCAAAAGTTTGGCAAAATCTGACATTTTTATGTTGAATTCGGTTATTGATATGCATGGGAAGTGTGGTCGGATGGATCTAGCGTATTTGGTTTTGTCGAGGATGGAGGAAAAGAATGTTTCTTCTTGGACGTCCATGATTGTTGGCTATGCAATGCATGGTCCAGTTGAGAAAGCTCTTGGTTGTTTTCTTTGTACGAGGGAGGTTGGGGTGAGACCTAACCATGTTACATTTGTTGCGGTGTTGAGTGCCTGTGTGCATGGTGGGAAAGTGGAGGAAGGGAAATTTTATTTCGATAAGATGAAGAATGTTTATGGGATAAGGCCTAGTTTGCAGCATTATGGATGCATGGTAGATTTGCTTGGTAGAGCCGGGTTGCTTGAGGAAATGAGGAAGATGGTGGAGGAGATGTGTCGTGAGCCAACCTTGTATAAGGCCATGACCGGGACTTAGTTGCCATGAGCCACCCATGTATAGGGCCATGGCCGGGTAGACCCCTTGTGTTAGGAAAAGTGTCCCCATTTCAAACATTGTAACGGTTACTGGTAGCATAGCTCTAAAATCTCTAAGGCTCTTTAGGGGGAGGTGAGCCGGCAGGGTATTGTTGGGCTGTCTCACCGGGTGCTATGCGAGCTTAGGCCACCCACCATGGGCTGCCCCCCTGGCCCTGGTGATGGTGGGAGGTCCCGATGTATGATTCCCGATTTTAATGAAATTCACCTCGATTGAATGCCCGATTGTTGCCTCGATGTGTTTCTTTTCTTTTTCGATGTGAATGTGCCTTGCTGTGTGTATGGATGAGATTGATATTGATATATTGTGCCTTATTGTGAATGCTTGAGACTAACCATGGTTTATGGTTATTTGTTCAGATCTCGATCTATTGAGGGCTGACTTGGGTGGAAGCGTTCATTCAAGTGCCACGCGGGCTAGTGCTTGTTGAGAGAAAGTTTAGTCCGTGACACGTGGTATCAGAGCACGGTTGAGAAGTGCTAGAGAAATGGATGAGATGGCCACAAGTGGTGGACCGGATCATCAGTAGAGAATTGAGGAACTTGAGGCCGCGGTGACCGCAATGAAAACTCATATGGTGACAAAAGATCGAGTGAGGGAGATCGAGACAACCCAGCGGGAGTTGTCCGATACTCTCCACAATGTGAGCGAAGAGGCTAGAGATGCCTTGAACATTCTCCACAAGGAGTTTGAGGAGCTCAGGGCCCAGATGAGCATCCTACAAATGGCGGTGGCCAGTTCGGGTTCGAGCTCGACGGACAGGGGACAAAGGCCCAAAGTGCCGGAGCCTCGGTGCTATGAGGGGGCAAGGGATGCTAAGGAACTTGAGAATTTCCTGTTTGACATGGAACAATACTTCCGAGCTGTACACACAAGTTCAGAGGAAGACAAGGTGACAATGGCATCGATGTACCTCGTAGGGGATGCCAAGTTGTGGTGGCGCTCCAAGTTTGTCGATGACGAGTGCCCGATTAAGACTTGGACGGAGCTGAAGCGTGAACTGAAAAACCAGTTTTTTCGGAGAATGTAGACTATATGGCTCGAAAGAGACTTCGAGAGTTGGTGCAAACCGGAACGGTGCGAGAGTTCGTGAGGAACTTTTCTACCCTGATGCTGGATATTAGGGACATGTCCGAAAAGGACAAGTTATTCCATTTTATTGAGGGCCTCAAGCCGTGGGCGAGGACAGAGCTACAGAGGCAAAGAGTGCAGGATGTGGCGACGGCCATGGCTGCAGCAGAACGTCTTCATGATTTTAATGATGGTTCGTTAAAACGGAAGAACCCTCCACCAACTGGCAGTAGCTCTAATCTTGGGAGTGGGAGAAAGATAACTAGGTTGGACCGACCCTTCAGTTGGGGATCAGACAGGAGGTCCTTTGGGCGAGATAGCACCCAGCCTAGGACAAACAACGCAGGGATTTTCAAGCCTAGGCAACCGCTTGCTTGCTTTCTTTGCAAGGGGCCGCATCGAGTGGCTGAGTGCCCGCACCGAGGAGCCCTTAATGCCTTAAGGACCTCATCCCAAGAGTCTGCAAAAGCACCCGAAAGCGTTGAAGAAGCTGAAGAGGAGCCAGCCAGGATGGGCTCAATAAGGTTCCTCAGTGCCCTTCGCACCCAATTGAACACTATAAAGAAAGAGCAAAGCAGAGGCTTGATGTACGTGAACTTGACGATCAATGGGAAAGCCACCAAGGCCATGGTGGATACAGGTGCAACCGACACTTTCATCACACCAGAAGAAGCAAAAAGGTGTGGTCTTCAGATTAGTAAAGACTGTGGACGAATGAAGGCGGTCAATTCGCCAGCCTTTGCAATCAGTGGAAGCTCGAAAAGTGTGACAACCCAATTGGGGCCATGGGAAGAGAAGGTAGACTTCACAGTCTCCCCCATGGATGACTTTGATGTCGTTCTAGGATTGGACTTCATGACGTTGGCTCAGGCGATCCCTATCCCCGCTGCTAGCTGCTTGTTGTTCTTGGGAGAACACCCATGTGTGGTGCCAGCCAATATCTTGCCAAAAAGTGGGAAGAAAATGATTTCGACTTTGTAATTCAAGAAAGGGGTAAAGAGAGGGGAACCCTCTTTTGTGGCCATGCCGATCTACAAAGAAGGGTCGAAAGTAGAACCAATACCCAATGGCGTGAAGAAAGTGTTAGAAGAATTCAGAGAGGTGATGCCAGAGATGTTGCCCAAAGTTCTACCCCCTCGACGAGCAGTGGACCACGAAATTGAGCTCCTCCCAAGGGCAAAACCCCCTGCTAGAGCTCCCTATCGCATGGCCCCGCCAGAGTTGGCCGAGCTGAGAAAACAGTTGGATGAGCTTCTACAAGCCGGGTTCATCCGACCATCAAAGGCTCCTTTCGGAGCGCCAGTGCTATTCCAGAAAAAGCATGATGGGAGCTTGCGCTTATGTGTCGACTACAGGGCTTTGAACAAAGTCACCGTAAGAAACAAATATCCTATCCCGCTCATAGCAGACTTGTTTGATCAATTGAGCGGGCCAAGTACTTCTCCAAACTGGACCTGAGATCGGGATACCATCAGGTCAGAATCCTCGAGGGAGATGAGCCGAAGACCACTTGTGTAACACGGTATGGTGCATTTGAATTCCTTGTTATGCCTTTTGGACTAACCAATGCTCCTGCCACATTTTGTACACTGATGAATCAGGTGTTTCATGACTACCTAGACAAGTTTGTAGTCATTTATTTAGATGATATAGTGGTATATAGCTCCACGTTGGAAGAACATCAAGAACACCTGCGCCAGGTATTTCAAAGGTTACAGGACCACCAGTTATATGTAAAAAGGGAGAAGTGTGCATTCGCTCAGACTCAAATCCATTTTCTCGGTCACATTGTCGAACGTGGCCACATCCGAATGGACATGGAAAAGGTCAGGGCCATCAAAGAGATCTTAGCTGACAGGGAAACCAAGATATCTCGAAGACTAGTTCGGGAGTACTTAGTAAAGTGGGAGGGACTAGGCCTAGAAGAAACCAACTGGGAGAGAGAGCACGACCTCCAGAGATTTCAAAGGAAGATCGAAGAATTTCAAGCCAGCAAGTCGACGAGGACGTCGTTAGAATAGGTGGGGGAGGATGTCATGAGCCAACCTTGTATAAGGTCATGACCGGGACTTAGGTTGCCATGAGCCACCCATGTATAGGGCCATGGCCGGGTAGACCCCTTGTGTTAGGAAAAGTGTCCCCATTTCAAACATTGTAACGGTTACTAGTAGCATAGCTCTAAAAT